GTGGATTCTGTCATGTTTCGTGACATTTCTTCGAAGGTTAAGAGCGCTGCCAAATAACTAACACTGTGGAATGTCTTTCTGTACACTGTGAATATATCTTGCTTTCATTGGTTGATAAATAAAGCTGTTTGGCCAGTGATGAGGCAGAATAAGGTTAGGCAGTACATTCAAACTGAAGAGGGAGATGAAGAAGGGTGGAGTCAGGCATAAGCTTCAAGCTACCACCAGGAGAAGCAAGATGTGAGAGAACAGGTAACGCCATGAAGCCATGTGGCAAAACATAGATTAATAGAAATGGGTTGTATTAAGTTATAAGAGGTAGTTAATAATGAGCCTGAGCCATAGGCCATACAGTTTGTAATTAATATAAGCCTCTGTGTGTTTACTTTGTAAGTGGCTGAGGGGCCTCAGGTGGGAGAGATTCATCAGGAGAAACCTCCAGCAACACTTTAAGTGTATCTCTGCCATTTGAGATTCTTCTGTTGAGAACTCTTTGTTAAAATCTGTACCCTAATTTTTAATTGGATTATTTGGTACTTTGGTGTCTAGTTTCTTGGGTTCTTTATATATTTATATATCTGTCAAATGTAGAGTTGGTGAAGAACTTTTCCCATTCTGGAGGCTGCTGCTTTGTCTTACTGACAGTGTCCTTTGTCTTACAGAAGATTTTCAGTTTCATGAGGTCCCATTTATTAACTGTTGTATTCAGTGTCTGTGCTACCTGTGTTACATTCAGGAAGTTGTCTGCTGTTCCAATGCATTCAAGGCTACTTCCCACTTTCTCTTCTATCAAGTTCAGTGTAGCTGGATTTATGTTGAGGTCTTTGATTCACTTAGACTTGAGTTTTGTGCATGGCAATAAATATGAATCTATTTGCATTCTCTTACATGCCAACATCCAGTTATGCCTGCACCATTTGTTGAAAATGCTTTCTTTTTTCCATCTTATAATTTTGGCTTCTTTGTCAAAAATCGGGTGTTCATAGACATGTGGATTTACTTCAGGGTCTTCGATTTGATACTATTGACCCACTTGTCCATTTTTATGCCAATACCAAACTGTTTTTATTACCATAGCTCTATAGTAGAGCTTGAAGTCAGGGATGGTGATGCCTCCAGAAGTTCCTTTGTTGTACAGGATTGTTTTAGCTATCCTGGGTTTTTTGTTTTTCCATATGAAGTTGAGTATTGTCCTTTCCAGGTCTGTAAAGAATTGTGTTAGAATTTTTATAGGGATTGCATTGAATCTGTAGATTGCTTCTGGTAAGATTGCTGTCTTTACTGTGCTAATCCTACTGATCTATGAGCATGGGAGATCTTTCTACTTTGTGATATCTTCTCCAATTTCTTTCTTCAAAGACTTAAAGTTCTTGTCATACAGGTCTTTCACTTGTTTGGTTAGAGTTACCCCAAGATATTGTATATTATTTGCGGCTATTGTAAAGCGTGTTATTTCCCTGATTTCTTTCTCAGCCCATTTATCATTTGTATATAGGAAGGCTACTGATTTTTTTGAGTTAATCTTGTATCCAGCCAAATCACTGAAGGTGTTTATCAGCTGTAGGAGTTCCCTGGTAGAATTTTTGGGGTCGCTTATGTATACTATCATATCATCTGCAAATAGTGAAAGTTTGACTTCTTCCTTTCTAATTTGTATCCCTTGATCTCCTTTTGTTGTCTTATTGCTCTAGCTAGGACTTCCAGTACTATATTGAATAGATATGGGGAGAATGGACAGCCTTGTCTTGTTCCTGATTTTAGTAAAATCGCTTTGAGTTTCTATTTAATTGATGTTGGATGTTGGCTTGCTGTATATTGCTTTTATTATGTTTAGGTATGTTTCTTGTTTCCCTGATCTCTCCAAGACCCTTATCATGAAGGGGTGTTGGATTTTGTCAAAGGCTTTTTTGGCATCTAATGAGATGATCATGTGGCTTTTTTATTCTTTCAGTTTGTTTATATGGTGGATTACATTGACAGATTTTCAAATGTTGGACCATCCCTGCATCTCTGGAATGAAGCCTACTTGATCATGGTGAATGATTTTTTTTATGTGTTTTTGGATTCAATTTGTCAGTATTTTATTAAGTATTTTTGCATCAATGTTCATGAGGGAGATTGGTCTGTAATTCTCTTTCTTTGTTGCATCTTTGTGTGGTTTGAGTATCAGGATGACTGTAGCCTTATAAAAAGAACTTGGCTTTGTTCCTTCTGTTTTTATTGTGTGGAACAATTTGAGGGGTATTGGCATTAGCTCATCCTTGAAAGCCTGGTAGAATTCTGCACTGAAACCATCTGGCCCTAGGCTTTTTTTGGTTGCGAGATTTTTAATGACTGCTTCTATTTACTTAGGGGTTATAGGTGTATTTAAATTGTTTATCTGGTCTTGATTTAATTTTGGTATGTGGTACCTATCAAGAAAATTGTCTATTTCTTTTAGATTTTCTAGTTTTCTGGAGCAGAGGTTTTTGAAGTATGACCTAATGATTTTCTGGATTTCCTCAGTGTCTGTTATTATGTCTTCCTTTTCATTTCTGATTTTGTTAATTTGGATATTCTTTATCTGCCTTTTAGTTTGGATAAGGGTTTGCCTATCTTGTTGATTTGCTCAAAGAAACAACTCTTTGTTTCATTGACTCTTTGTATTATTTTCTTTGTTTCTATTTTATTGATCATATATATTTTTTAGAGAGATGGAGAGACAGCTGGAGAAATGACTCAGACATTAAAAGCTAAGCTCACAACCCAAACATATTTATTTTGTACTCTGATTTTTTACTATGCGTGTGTTGTACTTCTTTTACTAATTAATTGATTGGTGTGTGTATGTGTGTGTTTGTTTTATTATATGATGCAATGAGGGCACACATTCCCGAGTGTGCATGTGTATGTAAAGGAACAATTTTGTAGAGTTGGTTTTCTCCTACCTTTACATGGGTTCCAGGGATCAGACTCATGTTGCCAGGCCTTCCTTGCACATCTTTTGTCAGTTTTATCTGTATCCCTAAGTACCTTTAGGTGGTTTTGAACCCTAAGTGATACTCTAAATACATTGATTCTTAAAGTTAAACTCTTGTTTGCTCATTGCTAATATATAAAAGTTTAACTGATATTTGTGCATTGATTTTATAACCCACAAACTTAATAAAGTCACATATTAGTTCTAGTAGCATTATAATGGACTCCTTCAGATATTCGTGTTGTTCTACACTATCATTCCACTTATTGCTTCAAGTGAGGGCTATTTCCTTCTCTTGTGCAATTTCACTGGATAGGGCATTTAATACAACGTTATAAATAGAAGTGGTTCAGTTTGGACACATCACCTTTATTCCAGATCATAGAGGCTGTTTTAGTCCATGTTGTACAGTTAACAATAGAAAACTGGAGCCGGGCGGTGGTGGCGCACGCCTTTAATCCCAGCACTCGGGAGGCAGAGCCAGGCGGATCTCTGTGAATTTGAGGCCAGCCTGGGCTACCAAGTGAGTCCCAGGAAAGGCGTAAAGCTACACAGAGAAACCCTGTCTCGAAAAACCAAAAAAAAAAAAAAACAATAGAAAACTGCAGTCTTGGTAATTTAATAATAACAAAGAGAAACATATCTCCTGCATAGTTTTGGAGACTGGAAATTGGATGGCCAGGGTACTAGTGTTTGACAAGAGCCTCCTCACTACATTATCCTATAGTGAAAGGTTAAAAGGAATAAAAGACCATAAGAAATCGAATTTGCCACTTTAAAGCCCTTTTACTTCCCTTAATCTATTCACCAGGATGGAGCCATTATGACTTAGAAAACTAGACCTTGGGGCTGAGGATTTAGCTCAGTGATAGAGCACTTGCCTAGCAAGCGCAAGGCCCTGGGTTCGATCCTCAGCTCCAAAAAAAAAAAGAGAGAGAGAGAGAGAGAGAGAGAGAGAAAACTAGACCTTACCTCCCAATAATTTTGCATTTGGGACTAAGTTACCAACCCATGCTTTTGGGGGGCACATTCAAACCATAGTAGATGAAAAATAATCACCATTAAATATGATATTATCTATACATTTTTCACAGCTAGTCTTTATCTGTTGAAAACCAGTCTCCATGCTAGGTGGTGGTGGCACACATCTTTGATCCCAGCACTCTGGAGGCAGAAGAAGGTGGATCTCTGAGTTTGAGGTCAGCCTGGTCTACAGAGCAAGTTCCAGGACAGCCTGGACTACACAGAGAAACCCTGTCTTGAAAAGGAAAGAAAGAAAGAGGCGTGGGGGGAGGAAGAAAGAAACAAAGAGAAACATGGTGTCTTTGGGTTATTTATTTATTAGAGGCACTATGGATGGACCCTAGAGTCTCCCGCATGCTAGACTCCCACATCTATCAGATAACACGCTATGTTCTCTAACAATCTCTTTGCACTTACAGTGAGACCTGCCCCCAGCCTTCTCTTTTTATTTATTCATTTTTATTTTGAAACAATGTCTTGCTAAAAGGATGAAGCAGACCTTGAACTTATAATCCCTCTGTGTCACTCTCCTGCCACCGTCTCCTAGCCTGCGAGGCTGTAGAAAGTTTTTACAAAGAATAGATTTTTGTCAAGTCATTTTCATTGACTGAAATCATAAAGTGAAGTCAATACAATGTTGGGATGAGTTATAATAGATTTTAATAATCTATTCTTTTAAACTTAAAAGTATAACACAGATTGTAGTGATTCATACAAGAGTGGATATATTATAAGCCACTGAACTATAACTTTAATTGTTATTGTATGACATATACACAGGAACAATATCTTAGTAGTCAGTCCTGAAAACATATACATACAAGTAACATCATACAGACTGAGTAGTTTTTACAATTGTGGTTGAATTTATATGTTTAGGTAAATAACATATATGTATGTAACAACAGTTAATGAAAAAAGAGGCCATGAATTTGAAAGAGAGCAAGGACAGGCATATGGGAGGGTTTGAAGGGAAGGGGAAAATGATACAATTATATTATGATCACAAAAAAAAAACTGCAAAAGAAAAACTTGGGACCTGGAAGATGGCTTAGCAGGTAAATAGGTAAACCAATGACTAATGACTGGAGTTCAGTCCCCAGAATCCACGCAGAAAGACAAATTCAGGGGCTTGCATCTGTAACCCCAGCAATCCTATAGCACAAAGGGAGGCAGATACAGGAAAATCCTCAGGGCCAGCAAGCACAGATCATGCAGTGCAATGGCAGAAACAAGAGACTCAGCCTCACCAAAGAGGAAAGAAATAACTGACTCCCAAAACTTGTCCTCTGACTTCCAAATGTATTCCGGGGGTTAGGAATTTAGCTCAGTGGTAGAGCACTTGCCTAGCAAGTGCAAGGCCCTGGGTTCGGTCCTCAGCTCTGAAAAAAAAGAAAAGAAAAGGGTCATGCCTCTGTTTGCCGCTAGCACTGAGCCTACCCGAGAGATCACAGTCACCAGGCAGCCGTGTTTGACTCCATGTTCCAAATGTATTCCGTAGCACATGGGCACCCATAATCACGTAAAAACATATAAATCGAATTAATTCATAATTAAAATAAATAAATAAAGTAAATAAGATGAATCCATGGAATTACTAAGCTCTGGGACCAGCAACATGGTATGGTATCAGTTGGAACTGATTTTGTTGGTTTTATGAAACTGGGAGCGCCTCAGTATGTAACTCTGGCTGTTCTGGAACTCACTCTTTAGACCAGGTTGGCCTTGAACTCACAGAGATCTACCTGTCTCTGCCTTCTGAGTTATAGAATTAAAGGCATGTGTCACCACACCTGGTTTGGGACCGAATTCTAAAGCACCCACTTTTAAAGGAATTAGATTCTAATTCTCTGGATAAAATGAAGAATGACAGTGGGAGTATTGAGCTTGGCCTTCATCTTTTTGCTGATAAATCTGATGCAGCCCAGATATACAACCAGTAAGCACCTGGTAAGAAAGTGGTCACAACTCTACCATAGAATACAACACAGTCAAGGTCTACACTGAAATGGAGCAGGTATTCTCTTATAAAAATTGTCAAGGGATCCTACATATGAGTTGAGTTTAAATCTGGAACCTTGGGTTTCTGGTGGCATAAACCCCCAAATTTTACATTTGTAATGATAGGCGTGATAGAGGCTTTCAACACACAAAAAGAAATTGTGTCATGAGAGGTACATAATACATGGAAACAAGAGAATATTCTAAAACTATTTGGTGATCTTCAAGGGAATATAGCTTGGAATTATATTCATTAAAAAGAGTAACATACTTTGAAATAAAACAAGGCCACATAGCAAGACTAATCTCAATGTCATCACAGGTTTAATGGCTTAAAACAATAGAAATGTATTCTCTCAAAACTAGGGAGCCTGCATGGGGCTGACCTAGACTCTCTGCATATATGCTACAGTTGTGTAACTTGGTCATCTTGTGGGACTCCTAATAGTGGGAGCAGGGGCTGTCTATGGCTCTGTTGCCTACTTTGGGGATCCATTCCTCATACTGGGTTTCCTCATCCAGCTTTAATATAAAGGGAGGTGCCTAGTCTCACTACAACTTGATATGCCATGGCTGGCTGATATCCATAGGAGGCCTGCCCTTTTCTGAAGAGAAACAGAGGAGAAGTAGATGGGAGAGGAAGAGGAGAGGTGGGGTGTGGCGAGCCACAGGAATAGGAAATAGAAGTCCAGCTGTATATTATAAGCTATACCTTGATAAGGCCAAGGTCAGTCGAGTGGGAAGCCAATCAGCAAGGTCTAGTGGTGTTATGCGGCTTAATATTCAGTTATGCCTTGCTATGAATTCCTTGTGCTCATAATTCTCCTAAAATGTGTTTGTGTGTGTGAACCTCCATTTCAAATAGTCAGGTAGACAGAACCTTCTGCCTCTGAGCTCCAGGCCCCCTCTTTAGCATTTGTTTTGGGTGTCTACCATTTGCAAATACCCTCCTTGAGCTACTTCCTAAGATAGAGTCAACCCCAAACAAAGCCTTAAAAGACAAGCAAGGAACAGACAGCTACCAGGCCATCTGTTAGCCGCCTGAAAACTCCCCGAACTAAGATAAAATGTCCTTTCTGAGACTGCTTGTCTCACAGGCCAAATGCCTACCAACTTGAGGAACAAGCTTTGTTTCTTGTGCAAATCAAGGCCTTCCCTTTCTCTCTCTCACCGCCCCAAAGAATCTCTTAGATCAAAAAGGGCTTTCCTCTTACCAGGTGTTTCAAGCTGTGATGCAGATTGACTAGCTATCAGTACTCTTCCCCCGCCCTGTCAGGAAACTGGCGACAGAGGAAAAAAGTGACAGTTTTAACTTTTAGTGACCTACAGACTTTTCCTACCTTATCACCTGTAAGTTTCTAGTTGAACACTTTTATGATAGACTCATAATATCTTTCACCCAACCACAATAAGGATATATTTCTAGCACACAAATTCCTTTTCTGATTTATTTCAACTGCTAACTGACTCCACTCTTATCTCTCCCCTTTTGGGTTGCAAATAAAATTGCCAGGAAGCCTCAAGTGGGGACCTAGGAGAATTGGAATTAGGGAAACTAAGAGAATTGGAACTAAGGGAATTTAGAGAAATCAGGAACAGAAGGGAACTAAGGAAATGAAGAGATCTGAGAGAGCTGAACTGGTGACTGAATGATGGCGACTGAGGAATAAACGAATTGAACTAAAGAGCTCCAAGCAACTGGATTCATTCCCGCGCCAATGGTAGTGTCTCTCCTGGGCCCCGGATTTGTATAAATTTAAGGCTGGGCCCTTAAATATCATACAAAAGTGGAGGAGGGACTGCGATGAGAGAAGGGAAGGGAAACATTGATTGGAAGGTTAAAAAAAAAAGTATGGGCTCAGCTGGGCAGTGGTAGCACACACCTTTAATCCCAGCACTCAGAAAGCAGAGGCAAGCAGATTTCTGTGAGTTCAAGGCCAGCCTGGTCTACAGAGTGACCAAGATAGGGCTACACAGAGAACAGTTGTCTCAAAAAAAAAAAAAAAGTGTGGGCCCATAGTTGAAAACGAGGCATTAGAAACATTGTTAAAGCTTGTTAAAATCATGAGAGTACCTTGCCTTGCCTCTTCTGGTTTCAGAGTTCCTTGGCTTATAGCTGCATAACTCTGCTTTCCATCACTGTCTTCCATTGGCCTTTTTCCCCTTACCTGGGCCTGTATCTCTCCTGTAGGTGTCTCTTAAATGACTTTTCTTATTGGAAATAGGGCACACCCAGATAACCTGGGATGGTCTTCAGAGATATGATTTCTAAATATGATCATGTTCATAGGTTCTATGTACTGGGACAAGAACATATCTCTGGGAACCACTCTGTAATCCATTACAAGAAGAGACCAAAGAGATAGCACAGAGGAAATATACTTTTAAACAGTATATTTAAATAATATATAATATATTTATGCAAATGTATAATCATATATAATTATCATAATATATAATATATTTACTTAAATACATTTAAATAAAAAGTATTTTTAAAGAGTGGCCATAATTTTTAAGACAAGAAGAAGAAAAAGAAGAAGAAGAAGAGTCCTCATATTGAACGTGCACATCAAGAGGCAAAATGAATAAATTAAAGAATCCTACATCCAGGCACATTGCAGTTAAAATGAAGTAATGTAATAGATTCTTCTTGAAAGAAACAGCCTGCTGGCAGAGGAATAATTAGACTGACAGTAAATTATCACCAGCTATGCCAACTGTAAGATAATACCCTCAAACTGTGAGAGAAAAGAGCTGCCGGCATAGAATTGACATGGAAGAGAAAAGCAATCAGTTTTTGATGTAGAGAAAGTTACCAGTATTTGAACTCTACAGTATTCTTAAAGCATATCAAAATAGGAAGCTGTAGAGGTGGCAGAGTTTAAAAGCACCTATTGGTCTTGCAAAGGATCTGAATTAAGTTCCCAGAACCCATGTCAGGTGGTTTACAACTCAGACTCAAACTCTAGTGGATCCATTACTCTCTTCTGGACTCCATAGATACCTTTGTTCATGCACACACACACACACACACACACACACACACACACACACACACACACACACTTAAAAGATAAAATAAATCTTTTAGGGCTATACAGATGGCTCAATGGTTTGGTTCCCAACACCCTTGTGGCAGCTCACAAAGATCTGTAACTCCAGTTCCAGGGGATCTGATGCCTTCTTCTGACCTCAGCAGGCACTCATATGGTGTACATACATACTTATAGGCAAAATCACATGCATACTTAAAGAAATGTTCAACATCCTTAGCCATGAGGGAAATGCAAATCAAAACAACTTTAAGATCAAAACCACAAGTGACAGCTCGTGCTAGTGAGGATATGGAACAAGGGGAACACTCTTCCACTGTTGGTGGGGTGCAAACTTGTACAGCCACTATGGAAATCAGTATGGTGGTTCCTCAAAAATTTGGGAATCAATCTACCTAAGATTTAGCTACACCACTCTTGGGCATATACTCAAAGGATACTTCATCCTACCACAAGGACGCTTATTCAGCCACATTCACTGCCACTCTATTCATAATAGCCAGAAACAGGAAATAACCTAGATGCCTCCCAATAGAATGGATAAAGAAAATGTAGTACATTTACACAATGGAATATTACTCAGATGTTAAAAGAAACTGATATCATGAAATTTGCAGGCAAATGGTTGGAACTAGAAAAAATCATTTTGAGTGAGGTAACTCTGACACAGAAAGATAAATATGGTATGTATTTGCTTATATGTGGTTATTAGCCATTAAATAAATTATAACCAAGCTACAATCCTTAGTCCCAGAGAGGTCAGGTATAGAGGAAGGGACTAGTAGGGGCACATGAATCTCCCTGCGACGGGGAAATAGGATAGATTCTATGGGTGGACTAGGGACAAGAGGGAATGAGAACAGGAGGATTAGGTGGGAAGGGGGAGGGGAGATAGGGTTGAGGGAGGGGATATAAAGAGAGACAGCTAGAATTAAGGTGCATTTGAAGGGTGGTATGGAAACCTAGTGCAGTGGAAATGCCCTAAAATATATGAAGGCAATCCTAACAAATCCTGTTGCCAAATAATAAGAGAGTCCCAATTTGTGGTGATATTGTATTCCCCAAAATATTGTGCACCCTAATAAACTTATCTGGGGGCAGAGAACAGAACAGCCATAATATTAAACATAGAGGTTAGGCAGTGGTAGCACACGCCTTTAATCCTAGCATTTCAGAGGCAGAGATCTGCCTGGATCTCTGTGAGTTTAAAGCCACACTGGAAACAGCCAGGCATGGTGACTCACGCCTTTAATCCCAGAAAGTGAGCCTTTAATCCCAGGAAGTGATGGCAGAAAGCAGAAAGGTATTTAAGACTTGAGGACCAG